GCCATTAAGGTGGAGGGAGACCCTCTGTCTCCTGCCTGCCCCTGGTCAGAAGTCAATTGCTCGGGTGCTGGGCGGGGTCAAGCCAGGAGGACTTCAACTGTGATCTGTCAACTCATGGAGCCTTTCCTGCAAGCAGGTTTTGACAAAAGGGACAGAAACAGGGAGAAGAAGCACTCAGAGGAAAGAAAGCAGTATAGTAAAAGAATGCTGGGGAAAGCAGCCTTCCAAATATTTTGGCCAAGAGCCCAACCACGAAGATAAACACCTGAAGCCTAGGAGCTGAGAGAAACCATAGCAATCATGTTTACCACCCTCCTTATCTAGGGACACAATCCTTTAGCCAAAACCACTGAGGCAGATGTGTTTCAGATTCCAATTTTTTTTGTACTTTAGAAAGATGTTAGGTTTACTAAGACATAAATTGAATAACACCCCTAGCAATTTCTGGGGGAAAGCACCATAATCCAACAGGCTAATCTTGCTGCGGTAAAGTGTATAAATATTTACACAAAGTGGGATGCAGCCTGTCAAAAGCATGCCAATTCAGATCCAGTTTGTCACGAAAAGAGTTTACACCACACTGAAGGAAAATGTGTGGTGTTCAGAGCTCCTGGGACCTTGAAGTTGGGAGCAAACAGTTGTATATAGGACACAGCTAAGATGTCCACCAGCCATGTGACTAATCCAGAGGTACACACACAGTTCACTGCAAATTCAACTCAGTTTTTCACTGCATACTAACATCTACCAGGTCCCAGGCACCATGCTCAACACTGAGGTTCTGGTCGTGTATTCATATTCAGAGCTGCTGTATCAAAGTACCACAAACCAGGTGGCTTAAAACAATAGAAGTTTATTGTCTCACAGTCATAGAAGCTAAAATCAAGTTCAAAGTCAAGGTGTCAGCAGGACTGTACTCCCTCTGAAACCTATAAGGAGAGTCCTTCCTTGCCTCCTCTAGTTTCTGGTGGCTCCTGGCACTCTTCGGCATTCCTTGACTTGTAGATGCATCGCTCCAGTCTCTGCCTCTGTGGTCACATGGCATTTTGCCTGTGTGTCTCCCTCTTTTCTTATAAGAACACAGTCACATTGGATCAAGGGCTCACCCTACTCTAGTATGACCTCATCTTAAGCGACTACATCTACAGTGACTCTATTTCCATGTAAGGTCACGTTCTGAGGTACTAAGGGTTAGGACTCCAACGTATCTTTTTTTGGAGACACAGGTCAACAGATAACAAGTGGCAAACCAAAATAGGCATAGCCCCTTGCTTTCATCAAGCTAGCGTCGAGTGGGGAAGTCACATTACAAGTATGTTGAGAATTTTCAAAGGGGGAAGTATTAATGGGACCATACAGTAAGAGAAGTTTACCCAGTTGAGAGTTTCCTCTCTGAAGAAGTAGCATTTTAAATGGAAATGAAAAGATGAGTAAAAGCCAAGCAAATAGGGAAAAAAGGCACTAATGCCCTCACTCTCTGATGCCTAGACCAGAGCCCCGGTCCTCCTTGCACTAGGCTTCTGCAGAAGCCAGGCCCCTCAAAGAAGGACTCTGAGTGTCTCCCAGGCCACCACTCATAACCAACCTTGCCCCTAAGCCGGCTCTGCCTGGCCTGCAGTTCCTCTCTCAGAAACAGCCAAAGGCACAGAACACAAGGAGTAGGGCATCAGCACCCAGCAAAACCCAGGCCCACAGTTGCAGCCTCTCTGCAGGAGAGAAGTAGAGGAGAGTCTCTGCTTTCTCTTTTTTGGCCCAAGTTGATTCTAGTATTTTTTACCCAGAATCAGCAAAGTCCTTAATATACAGATAGCTTCTGCTGACCTCTGTCCTTGAGAATGCAGTGCACTTTTATCAGGGCAGGCAGATACATCTGTTATGTGAGTTTCTCTGAGCAGTGCTCAGGTGGCCTCATGGCTACCAAATGCCTCTGCTTCAAGGTCCCAGGGGCTAAATTTCTGCCAGAAATGGTGGTAGAGTTTGGGGAAGTGAGGACGTAAAGCCTCTACTTTGATGAGCTTTAACCTTGGGACAGAATTAGCTGTGTAGGCAGCTATTTTATGAGACATACAAAGAGGGGTCACCAGCATTGGCCATGGATGTTAGATTTTGTTTTACACCCACATCATTTTAGTATTTCCCTTGAGTGGAAAGAAAACCTTTTTTGAAGCATAATACACGTAAGGAAAGTACACACAAATCCTATGTGTACACTTGGTGATTTTTCATAAAATGGACCCAGATCCAGCACTAGATCTAGCAAACACCCCGGAAGCCCATCCCACTCTGCTCCTCTTCCAGTTTTTACCCACCACGGGTAAGCAGGGTCCTGGCTTCTAACACAGTGGATTAGTTTTGGCTTTTGAGCTTATATAAATCACACAGTATCAATTTTTGTGTTTGTGGTTTTGTTCATTCAGTTTTATGTTTGTGAGATTCATTTATGTTGTTGCTTATTGTTGCAGTTTATTCTCATTGCTTTATATAATCTTGTGTGAATATATCATAATTTTTTATTCATTCATGTGTTGATGAACATTTGGGTTTTTCCAGGTTTGAGCTATTATGAGCAGTGCTGCCAAGGATATTCTTGCATATGTCTTTTGATGAACATATGCAAATTGGGGAAAGGTATATACTTGTATTGGTTGTCTATTGCTGCATAAAAATGTCCCTCCAAACCTAGTAGCTAACAATGACAATAAACATTGATCACCTCTCATAGTTCATTTGAGTGAGGAATTTGGAGGCATCTTGGACATGCAGTTCTGGCTTGAGGTCTTTCCTGAGGTTGCAGTTATCTAAAGGCAAGCTTGGGGCTGGAGGGTCTGCATTCAAGGTAGCTCACTCACATGGCTGGCAAGTCAATGGTGATTATTGGTGGGGAGGCTGCAGTTTCACACATGAACTTTCCTTAATACTCTCTGGGTATTCTCATGACATCGTGGCTGGCTTCCCCACCACCATGAGTGGGCAAAGAGAGAGCATCAAATTGGAAACATTATCCTTTTTGTGACCTAGTCTTGGAGGTCACATAGCATCACTTCTGCATCATTCTATTCATTAGAAGTGAGCCACTAAGTCCAGCCCATACTCAAGACTCCACCTTTGGAAGGAAGGCATGGCAAAGAATGTATGGATGTATCTTAAAACCAATAACACCACAACGTTGTAAAGCTTATAATTAACTTAAGCTAAGGGTTTAAAAATAAGCTGATCGAAATTTACACAAGGATCTAAAAGAAAGAAATTCAACCAGCTTCTCCTCTTCTATTCCTTTAAAACTTTGCAAATGTTCATAGGAGAGTTTTCAAGGTACTTTTTGGAGACAGCATGGTACAATAGAAAGTGCAGAGGCTTTAGAGCCAGAAACAACCAAGAATGAATCCTGGATTCACTACTTACTAATTATGGATACTTGAACAAGTCAGCCTCTTGGATTTCCAGGTTCTCTCAACTGTAAAATGAGGATAATCAATAGAGCTTACCTCATATTGTTCTGGAGGCAATTAAATGAGATAATGTGTTAAGGTGCCCTTTATGATGGTAGGTCTCACTGATTTGCTCATTTAGCCAATAACATTAACTATCTAAAAGGTGTTCTGATGGACCCTGTGAGTGATACAAAACTGACTCAGAGGCAGGCCCTACATCAGGAGGTGCATACGCTCGTAGTGCCCTTGACACGTGGAATAATCATAATACAACTGAGAAAATGGTCAGTGTCTGGAGCAAGTATGGATACAGTGTTTTAAATATGGATTATATTTGGACATATAGAAATGAAAGACGTTTTGAAGGGCAAGGAAAGGGCAAAAGATATTCCAAATTAGAAATACAACTTGCATAAAGACACAACTAGAAAACCATGGGGCATAAATGGAGAATAACAAACAGATTATTACAGATATGGCTAACCTTAGTGTAGATGAAAGGAGGTAGTGGACACAGGTTGGAAAGTTAGTTACATGTCAGAGCAGTAGGAAAAGATTGAGCGCATACACTTAGTCTTACAGTCTGATGAAAAACATTAAGACCAAAAAATTTTCAACCAACTTTCAGGACAAAAGCTAGGTGGGACTAGCTACTAAAGGATCTACTTACCATGCTTTTTCTTGGCCAATTCCTGTTTGTAAAATCTTTACAAAGATTGTAAACAGAACTTTCTAAAACTGATCTTTAGAAGATGCTTCTGACTTAGAGCCTGAGCGACTGAGCTTTATTATTCCCAGTCTGGAGGCTGCATCAGCAGGGAAATGCAGTGGGATTGTTTTCATAGGCCCTTAGCTCACTGTAAATGTACTTCTCAAGATTTGACCCTTTGGAAATGGCCAGTTCATGCACTCAACTCATCTGCTTATTTGACTGCTACATCCAGATCATGAGCCACTCTCTTCACTTTACTTCCCCTCAAGAAGAATGATCGATTGAGCAGCCTTCACTTCTGTTACATTATCCAGTCCCAGGCAGTGATGATGTTTAAACATAAGACAGAGACGTTTCTATGCAGCGATGGAACTTTGAAGGAAGCTGGAGCCAATGACCTTTCACTTTGAAGCCAAAGAATTACAAGCAAAAAATTTTCAGTCTTGCTAAGAATTGGGGTTGCAGAAATTAGCAGAAAGTCCTCTTTAAGCCTCACAATTCAGTATGTGGTGCCGAAAGCCTTTATGTACTCAATCTATGTCTCATCAAGCATTCCCCTCTTAGTTTGATGAAGTTTATATGTCCCATCAGAATAAACATGGTTGTAACCATTATTGGTGATTTTGTGGGTAAAAATTGGATATTCTATTTTATCTCCCTCTTTGCTTTAATGTAAATGAATTCTAGAGCATTGAGGGGGAGGATAGATTCTAGGCTTAGGATAGAACTGCCAGCCAATCTTGGGCTGGCACTTCCCACTTTCCCAGTTAGGGGTTTTTACTCCATTTGAGTTCATGGGAAACGTTCTCTGCGCAGGTACTAAGGGTGTGTTCTCTTCCTCTCTGGTTTCTTCTCAGGTGGGAAATTGGCAAGTGGAGTCCATGTGGTCTCACGTGTGGGGTCGGCCTACAGACCAGGGACGTCTTCTGCACCCACCTGCTTTCCAGAGAGCTGAATGAAACAGTCATCCTGGCCGATGAGCTGTGTCGCCAGCCCAAGCCCAGCACGGTGCAAGCTTGTAACCGCTTCAATTGCCCCCCAGCCTGGTACCCTGCACAGTGGCAGCCGGTGAGTTCTGAGTTACTCAATATTGGAGCTTTTGTTTGCAACAGTGACTAAAGGGATGCTCTCTCAGAGTGGTTTTGTCCAGGGATGTTAAAGGGATGTTCAAGGTCTGCTCATTTCTCCCTTCTTAGTACTCCCCTAAGCTGATTTAAATCCAGATCTTTTCGTTACAAATATCATGCTTTTTCTACTGTATCACATCCCAGTGACCTCCAAAAGCAATGCAGATGACCCATCTGTTCACCTGAGCGTATTTATGACAAAGTTGTCACCAAGCTAAGGAAAATTTTTTAAAATAAAAACAATGTGGTGGGTTTTCCATAAAGCTAAATTTGTTTTTAATTTATGCCCTTTCCAGTTTTTTTGCTGTTTAAAATTCTAAGAAATAAGGGTAGTAGGCAATGATTTTTTTAACATCATTACTTAGCAATATAAGAAGTTAGAAATGCTGAGCCAATTCCAAGTATTTTATTTTCCTGGTCCTGTGAATTCCAAAAGTCTGGGAACCATTGTTTCAAAACAGGGGTTGACAAACTGCAGCACTCAAGCTAAATCTAGCCTGTAGTCTTTTTTGTGTGTGTAAATAAAGTTTTATTGGAACACACCCATTATTTTACGTACTGTCTATGGCTGTTTTTGCTCTACAAGGCAGAATTGCATGGTTGTGATAGAGAACATATGGCTCATAAAATCTAAAATATATGCTATCCCTTTACAAACAAAATTTCTGATCCTGTACCAGGCATATATAATAATAGCACAACTATTTTATCATAATTTCCTTTCTAAAAATAATATGCATTTATGAAATGTTCATCTTTTTGCATGCCTTTTAAAAACACAGGATTTTCAGTTGATTGCATAAAATCTTATTTTGCAATTTGCTCCCTATTAGGACATAAAACACTGCTTTAAAGGGACAACAAAGGTCACAAAAAGTAAGCATGAAAGGTGGAGGCGACATACATCTGTGTTTCACTGAGACAGTTTTTTCACTCTCAAAAGTGTCCCAATTTGGGTGATAAATGATATGGTCATCAATGGAGAAGGAGAGAGAATGACAGCTCACGTACCCTCACCTTGTGCAGAAGGGGCTCCCTTTTCCAGGTAGCTACATGTCCTCCTCTGTGCTTTCTCCTAATCTTTGGCAGAGCCCCTTCCTTCTCCTTGCTCTCTGCCCATCTTGGAGCTGTGGTTTAGCAAAACACTCAAAGAATCAAATACTGATGAATAAGCAAAACACTAAAGTATGAAGCCTCTGGCAGCAGACATTAAATATATATTTTCTTTTAGAGCTTAAATGTATATGGCTAAGTTCATTAATTCCACGATACTAGGGATGGTTTATGGAAGAGGATGTCATATATTTTGAACACCAATGTACCAGCACTTAAGAAATATATATCATCGCACACCAAGCTGAAGTAAATCCTCACAATTCAGTTAAAAGGAGGTTTTATTAGCCTTATTTTAGGTTTGAGGTAACTGAGGCAAACACAGCAGCAAATTTGGGGTTGGCCATCACCTCAGTCTTATGTGACTCTTTCCACTATACCAAACCCACTGTGTATGACTCAAAGGCCCTTCAGGGATTAAACATGAGCACTTTTGTTTTACCGATGAAGTAACTGTGGCCTAGATGTAGGCTTGCTTAAGATCATAAAGCCTGGACCAGAACCCAGGTCACCTGATTGCTAGTGCATTTATACTGTTACCTCTAATTGGAATGAATCTATGACCTTAAACGGCACCACTAACCCATGCCAATCCTAATAAAAGGTGAGGAACCATCTCAAATCAACCTCCACTGTTGAAATTGTTAAGTCCCCGTATTATTAGTAGCTTGTTGCTATTAGGTACATAAGTTATGGATAAAATGTTTACTGAATGATGAAATGAATGAATAGATGAAGACTAGTCCTTATAGGCCCTGAAAATGCTGGCTTTACATCTTACTGGTAAGTTTTTTATGGTTACAGGTCTTAATATTGTTCTAGCCTTGAAATGCAGTGAAGCACCGATGTCTTTTTGATAGCCACACATGCTGCTGAATAATGACATTGACTTATAATGCTTTTTCAGTTTCTAGGGCACAGCCACATATATGACCTTTTTCTGGTCAATTGCCACCACCACCACCACCCATACGCCCAGTATCCCTGTTTGAAACATTGGACTTCCAGAGAATCACTTATTCTTCAATTTTCATCTACTTTGAGCCCGTGAAGATATGAATTAACTTTGAAAGCTTTTCTATTTCCTTCTTTCAGGGAGAAGCGTTTGAGGATGAGTCAGGTTTAAGTCCATTTTTCAGGTTGGGAAACTTAATAGTAAACAACTGTTTAAAGTTCATCCAATGAACCTTTAAAAAGTCTCTTCTTTCACACCTGAGACACCATAATTGTGAAAAATAGTCAAACATAACAAGAAATAAAGAACACAGAAGGTCAGCAGTGTTTCTACCCTCCAGAGACAGCCATGTTAACGGTTTGGTGCATAGGGTCTGTTTGTCCAGCAGGTGAAACCCCATCTCTACTTAAAAAAAAAATAATAATAATAATAATTATATAATATATACACACACACACACACACAAAAATTAGCCTGCTGTGGTGGCAGGTGCCTGTAATCCCAGCTACTCTGGAGGCTGAAGCAGGAGAATCACTTGAACTCAGAAGGCAGAGGTTGCAGTGAGCCGAGATTGCACCACTACACTCCAGCCTGGGTGACAGAGCAAGAGTCTGTCTCAAAAAAAAAAAAAGAATCTTTGATCACTTTTAGTAATCTCTAAACCTGGAGTAAACAATAGACTATTCATCTTACATTATTTACTGGAATCCAACTTCATTAGTTAAGTTTTGTTGGGAAAAATTAGCTATTGCTGACTGCTTGTGAGAAGAAACCATTGTTTACGTTGGATGGTGCAATGAGTCCAGAGTAACTTCAGGGATCCCTAGGCTAGTTGGCTGCAGTTTTAGAACTCAGCTTAGTTAGGACACCAGCTGTTGACAATCCGTCACATGGTTAGCCCTGATTCCTCAGCAGTTCTTACTGGAAAAAGGGAACTTAGTGTACACTCACCTGGTCTTTTCCATTTAGCAAGGATCTGCCAGAGGATACTACTGAGGTCTCCAATCCTTCAACACCCAACATACACCCTCTTTCTTATGAAAGAAAACGACATGGGGGAATCACATGTTTCATTTAAGGAATACAGATAACAACCTGATAGACATTACCTGTTTGAGGGGAGAAACTCTCTCTCCTCTCTATGTGAACACAGTGTTGCCACTGACCTCATGTGTATGTTTCTCTTTCTGGAGGGAAAAAAGTATAAATTATGTAAATTGTCATCTGCCAGATAGGAATGCAACCTTCTTTGTTCTTTGTAGAGTATTTGTCTGACAAATGGCAAATAGCCAATATTTACACATTCTGCAGGTCTGGAGAGGACCTGGCATGGAGTCCAAGTATTGATGTTAAGACCTTGTTTTAGAAACAATTAAGCAGAAATGAAACAGAAATCTAATTCTAGCTCTGGTTGTTAGGGGACCATCTTTATTTCAGTTCTGCCTCTTAATACTCTACCCTTTGCTTTTCATCTCTGGTCTGTGGGAAGGATTCATATTTACCTTTACCAATGTATTAATAGCTTTAATATCTTGTTAGTTTATATTTAGATGGCTTTTGAACACTTATTTTATGTGCATTAGTCCTCTGCATCTTCTGTAATTTATTAAATACACTCATCATCATCATCATCATCATCATCATCATCCTCTTTGATATGGGTTATAAGTGAATTTTTGCCCACCTCATGAGGGATCATATCACACGGGTGAGTTACAACACCATGATTGAGAATCACTGTTACCTATACCACAATTTAGTCTGAAACACCTTGGTCGTGACGGTCTACTGCTAGGGTTTTTCTCAGTGACTTATAACACCATGATTGAGAATCACTGTTACCTATACCACAATTTAGTCTGAAACACCTTGGTCGTGACGGTCTCCTGCTAGGGTTTTTCTCAGTGACTCTAAAGCCAGTACATGCCTTGTTCAGGCCTTCATCCCTCTGCGCATCTGTCCCTGCCCTGTCTCCAGGCATGGCTCTCCCATCCCTGCTTGTACACTCCCCTGCCCACCTACCATTTCCCACTCCCCTCTGCTCGTCAAGGCCCAGCAGGCAGCCTCCCTCTTCTGCAGTGACTCCTCTATTATCCTACACTGAAACCACATGGTGTTCAGTCGCAGACAGCTCACTTAACAACCACATATTACCCGCTCAGGTGCTTTCTCATGACTTCTGAGTTAGACCACAAGGTCAATGAAGGCAGAGACCAAGTCTCAGTGAGACCCCATAACTCTCAGGACACATCTGCAAAGCGTTGAGTTTGGTACTAGAAAGGTACATGCCCATTCTGCTGGTTTCATTTATTGAATACTTGCTACATTTCAGGAGCTGCTGCTTTTGATAATGAGAGCATCACTTTCTCTGTGTTCAGCACAGCTCTAGACACTTTACATATTTAGCTCACTTAATCCTCACTATCCTATGTGATAGTTGCTTAATAGGAATTTGAACATTCTCTTTTAGACTCATTTGCTGCACTTGGCCTCTCTCTTTTGAGCCTCACAGCAACCTAGTGAGGAAACCAAGACACAAGGCTGGTAAATGTGAAAGGGCCCTGTGTGCTTCAAACTCATTTCCTTTTCCACTATGCAGTATGGCTTTCCCAAGACTTCTTTACTATCTGCTCTTAACTTAAACTATGAAGAAACCTGGTAACAGTCCTAGAATCAGCAGTTTACAGAACACTCGGTATTTGTTGCCTCTATCCAGGACAGTTCATCTGTGTGTTGGCTTCCTGTTGCTGCTGTAACAAATTACCACAAACTTGGTGGCTTAAAACAACACAAACTTACTATCTTATAGTTCTGGAGATCGGAAGTCCCAACTCAGTCTCACCTAGCTAAATTCAGGGGAGCAGCAGGCCTAC